GCTGGACAGGGAGCCTGGGCCCAGCCTGGGTTGAGATTCCAGCTCTTGGCAGTGATGAGGGCTGGGTGCGAGGGTGCCTGTGGGTGGCCAAGGTGGGGCAGGGTCACTGAAGGACAGTGATGGGAGGGACGCAGGGCCCAGGATCCAGAAAGGGGGACCTAAGTGGACGTGGAGTTCCCCACTAATCACAGCAACAGGGAGCCAGGCCCTCCTCACTGGTTGAAGGAGCGTGAGGGGGAAGCCTTCACGTGGGAGGGCCTGGGACGCCAGGGTGGGGTTCTAGCCGAGGAGGGAGGTGAGCACTGCCAGAGAGGACAGCAGCGGGTGGGCATTTGTTGGCGCCATTCTCTAGACATGGTGTTTGGGAAGCAAGAGGGGTGAGAGCTGTTGGGAGGGCGTGCCCACAGCCCTGGCGAGGGCAGCCTGGAGTCTCGGGCCCTTTGTCTGAAGCTGGGCACATCAGTGATGCTAAGGACAGGGTTCTGGTGCAAGGTTAGCAATGCAGGCCACGAGGGAAGCCTAGCTTCTGTGAGTGTCTGCAGCCCTGACCCTCCAGCCCCCCAACCCCGTCACCAAAGCGCTCTGAGAAGCTGCTGCATTGGCCGCCTCCTGGCTCCTGTCCACTGTCCGCGCCCATCCCAGCCAGGTTCCTGCCCTGGCACTGCAGAGGCAGCTCCCGTGGAGGCCATCAGCAACCACAGGGCTCCATTTCGAGGCTAGAGCTCAGTGCTGGGCCCGCCGACTTTCAGCAGTGAAAGCCACCTGTCACCTAGCTCAGCATGCAGCTGGGCACACTGTCTCATCCAGCCCTGAGAGAAAGCCTGTGCAGCTCTCGAAGGGACTGTGAGTCTGTGCCACAGTTTGAGGCCATGTGGGCCCCTGTGGGTCGCCTCCCTGACCTGCCTCTGACTCTCCCCACCTGCGGTCCTTCACATGGGCCCTTGCGGATCTGGGGACCCAGTTATGCTGTCTGTCACCTCAGTGCTCGCATTTGCCTTGCCCCAGAGCAGCACTCTCTCCAGGAGCCGTCACTTCAGTGTTGCCTTAGAGAGGCCTGTCCTGGTGCCTGGGCTGGGCCCCGCCTACTTCCCGTGGCTCCGTCACTGTCAAGGAACAATACATTTGTACAGTGCCAGGCTCCCGCTAGAGTTTTTATAAACTCTGGGAGGATAGGTCGTCACTGTCACCTGCTGTGTCACAGCTAGGGAATTCCCCAGGTGCGCCGTGGCTTTACCTCGCGCTCCTCTCTTCATAGCGCACAGGCGACACCAAGCCCAACTTCTTCCAAGACTGCCTGATGGAGGTTTTTGACAACCTGGAGCAGCACATCCAGAACCCGCTGGTGCTGCAGTCCATCCTCAGCCTGATGGAGCGGGGCACCATGGTCCTGACCACCAACTACGACAACCTGCTGGAGCTCTTCGGCCAGCAGCAGAACAAGCCCATGGAGTCCCTGGACCTGAAGGACAAGACAAAGGTATGGGTGGGCAGGCGGACAAGGTGTGTGCCCTGCTGGGGCGTGGACACAGCCTGCATGTCCATGGCGGCCAGTTGGTGGTAAGAAGAGTCTGCCGATAGGCAGCTCTGGACACTGCGCTACTTCTCACCCCCAAGTGTGAGATGCGAGATGGGTCTTTGGGCAGAGGCTGCCTTTTCCCTTGGGCAGTGCCCTGCGCATGCCCCTCGAGACTACTCTCACTGCCGCCCTCATCCCCAGCTCTGTCCTGTGGCCACAGACTGCTCCCCTCTTTTTATTTAGCATCATTACTATAGGGATATACAGAAAGCCGGAATACCCCCATCCTGATGCTGTGAACTTTTCCTTAATACATTGCAAGCTACAGTTTTGTTTTTTTTTTTTAATAGAGGTTTTTGTTATAGGGTGCATGCACTTGCCAGAAAGAGACAAGGAGACAGATGGCCACGCTGCAATCCCTTCTCCATTCTCCTCTCGGGATTTTAGGCATGCATGCACATGCAACCCAGCATGAGTTTAAGCCACTGGGTCCGGGACTCAAGCTGTAGTCAACTACATGGGAGTCCAGTGACATAGCCATTACACCAACTGCTGGTCCCTGGAAGCTACACAGTTTTTAATTTTGACTTTTCCCTCGTTTTCTTGTTAAAAAAAATTTGCTATAGGGCACATGCACCTGTTAGAGAAAGAAAGCACTCACCAGGAGATGGCCACACAGCAATCCCTTCTCTTCCATTCTCCTCTTGGGATTCTGGGTACATGTGTTTCCTAAGCCACCAGGTCTGGGACTCAAACTGCATAGCTGACCGTATGGGATCCAGCCGCCCCAACCACCACGCCACCAGCTGACCCTGCTTTTGTTTTTCTTCTTTTTGAAGTTTACGTATTGTGTTATGGGAGAGGATGTGTGAGGACACATGGGAGATGGGGAGGTGGGTGGAAAGGCCTTGACAGGGTCTTACATGCAGCAGTCCGCCTTCCCAGTCCTCCAGCTTGTGAGGATCTCAGAAGCACGTGCCTGGCCTGTCTTCAAGCCAATCCAGGATGCAAACCCATGGTCAGCTGTGTGGCTTCCAGTACAGTTAGGTGTACTGCCGCCTGCATCACCGAGGCTGGGCCAAAGCCATTTTTGAAAGCGTGATTTTCAGTGGCAGGATTGTAAGACTGCATTGTAATTGTCAACCCCATGCCCCTCCCGCCCACTGGTGTTGGTTTCTCACAGAGTCTTGCTTCATCACCATCTCCTGGCTCTGCCTCCTGAGCGATTGGCACTGTCCCCATACACCGTCCGCTGCCGGCTTTGAGGGTGGGCTGGGAGGGGAATGGGGGCCTCCCGTGTGACCTCAGTCAGTGCTCACTACCACAGCTGGGCCTTGTTGGTGTATTTTGCAATGATAAATGATGCTACAATGAAGATTGTATACTTTTGTGTAGAAGGGTTTCGGAGTCAAAGCGTAAGCGTAAAGATTGATGGTGTACATTACCAGAGTTTCCAGAAAGATTAGCAGTTGTACTGCTATACACTAGAGTATCCACTCCCCACATCTTGTCGACGCGTGCTGTTATTGAAAAAACAAGGTTCAGTCCATGGTCGACTGCACAGTTTGTGTCCTGGACTTGGTGGCTCAAGAAACATGCTAGGTCTGTTTGCATGCATGCCCAATCCTGAAGAAGTGGAGATGGGATTGCGGTGTGATCATTCCCCACGGAAGGTGTTTTCTTTCTTTCTTTCTCTCTTTCTCCTCCCCCTCCCCTTCCTATCTCGGGCAAGTGCACACACCCTGTAGCCAAAATTTTAAATAAAACACATTTCACCCATTTGATAGGTTGAAAATTAAAATTTTTAAAATTTCTTTTATTGCTAAAGTGTAACGTAGTTTCATTTTATTGACCTTTTTTTGTTTTTAATGACATGTTCATGTCCTCTGTGCGCCCTTATTGATAGCTGACCCCTGGGCCTCCCAAAGAAGGGGGTGTTGGCTGTGTCCTCAGGCCCCAGGAAGCTAAAGCTGTAGAGGTGTCTCATCAAGACGTTGGTGTCCGTGAGGAGCGCTCGACCCTATTCCACACGCTGCCCTTTCTTGCAGCCTCCCTTGCAGGTCTGGCCACAGGTGCAGTCCCCTGCAGGGTGGTGCATACAGGTCACGGTCCCCGTGCAGAGCAGCCTCTGGTGGCCATCCATGATGTGGGATGGACACCTGCCCTGTGCATCTGGGCTGCCGGGCCCCATCGCCAAGGCTGGCCTCTGTGACAGTGTCTCTGGCAATGAGCTGCACTTGCGTGTCCCCGAGCCCAGCTGGCTTTCTGCCCACGGGATGCATCTGTTTCTGTTGCGGACACCACAGCCCCGCACAGAGGGAGAGGGGAGCCATGTGGCAAGTGCCCATGTCACAAGTCCTTTGTCCTTGATCTACAGCGATTGCGGCTGGCCATTCTATGAGCATAATTTTCCATGGACAGTCGTTCCTCATCTGTGGGGGGTCTGCTCCAGGACCCCAGTAGATGCCTGAAGCCACAGACAGCACTGAGCCCCTATATGCTGTGGTTGTTTGTGTTTGCGCTTCCCCGCTAAAGGGTCACTGAGAGTGAGGTGCAGTGAGAGGTCAGCCAGGAGAGTGAGTAACGAAGTCAGCCGCTGCGTGCCAGTAGTGGGCTGTGCTAATGGTTAAGCGAGTGCGTGGCTCCTGCCCTCTCTCCAGACACCTGACTACCCACTTGTCTGCAGACCCCAACTGACTGGAGATTACTAAAACTAGAAGGAAAAACCTCAGGTCGGGGAGATGACTGTGCCTATTTTTGTGGGTATAAAAATACTATGCAGAGGGAACCAGCAGTTAGCGTAATGGCTATGTCGCTGGACTCCCACCTAGTCGACCGCGGTTCGTGTCCCGGACCCCGGTGGCTTGGAACTCACACCAGGCGCGTGTGCGTGTGTGCCCAAGATCCTGAGAGGAGAATGGAGGAGAAGGGATTGCGGCGTGACCATCCCCCCTGGGGGGTGACTTCTTGCTTTCTGTCTCTAAGTCTCTCTCTGTCTGTCTGGCGAGCGCACGCGCCCTACAGTGAAAATCTCTCCAAAATAAAATAAAATAATAATATGCAGAGAGCAGTGATAAAGACACAGCATCTTCAGGGGCTGGCAGGTGGCATGATGTAACCATGCTGGACTTCCACATGGCCGAATTCGGTTCAAGTCCCGGACCTGGTGGCAAGTTAAATAAAATAATTCTTAAAAACAAAAAACAAGGCACAGCGTCTGAAAGCATAGCCATAGACCTGTAACTGCGAAGTCGGAGCTGGGTGCTGTCTGCTTCAGCTCACACGTTAGATGTTGTCCATGTGCCTGTCTTTAAGGGAGTGATTTTTGATCCAACAGGAACACCTCATATTAACAGCTCAGTTTCTCTTATGTCTTAAAGGTATAATTGTAAGTTAAAACTTTATTTTACTCTTTCTAGGTAGGTCCGTGAAGCCAGTACTCGTGTCGAGCTCCTTTCATTGTACATCTGTGTAACCTGGTTCCCCTTCATCCCCACTTGATTCTTGGTAGGTCCTCCAGTGGGCAAGAGGGCACATCAGGTACGGAGTTCTCCACATCCATGGCTTGTACACGGACCCCTGCGGGATGGTGCTGGACCCGTCGGGGTACAAGGATGTCACTCAGGACCCAGAAGTGATGGTATGGCCCGGCTCCTCGTCTTCAGGCCTTGGTTGCACCATGGGATCCTTGGTGTCCCCTAGTCAGCTGGCTGCTGTTCAGGTGGTTCTGGGCATTCCCCCTTTGGTTCCCCCATGCTGCTGCAGGGATGGGCCTTGTCTCGTGCTCTTGGCTGGATCTTCGGGGCCTAGTGCAGGGCCTGCAGGTTGACTAGATGGGGGCGAGCACTTGCTCCAGGCAGGACTGCTGATGCTGATTCCTTTGAAAGCACAGATGTGCTCTTACCCCCTCTGTGCTTCCCCTGGCTACGCAGTGACTCCTTCTCACTGGGGACACGGCAAGGCCTACAGGGCCCTGAGCTGTTGTCCTCCCCTCATCAGTGTCCGTTCCGGCATCTTGTCAGCACCTTCCCTCTCTTCCTCCACTTATCCTCTCTCCAGCTTTCAAAACCTAGTTTTGAAACTTCATTTTCAGTGAGGCTTTCTTGGTGTCCGAGACTGAATGAAGTATGGAAGGCTGTGTTTCCACCCTTTCCACGTTCTGCTGTCATAGCACTCAGTCTGCCAGGAGCTCCACGGATTACCCTGTGAGCTCAGGGTCAGGCACTTGGCTCCCAGGCTAGCCTCTGGGTCTGCGTCACGCTGGGACAGCGTCAGGGGTAGGGTCATTGGGTGGTGCCGGTCAGCGTGTGATTGACGCTGTGAGTTATTTCTGAGAAGTGCCTGTGCTGATGCCGTGCTGTCTCTAGGACATCTCCACATCTGCCTTCGTCACCTACAGACTGCTTCTCCTGGGCCCAGCCCTTGGTCACTGTCACTGGCTCCTCTAAGCTCTCCTGTCCTCGTTCCCAAAAGCCTGTTCTGGCAGGGAACAGCCTCATGTCTGGCCCACTGAGCAGCATTAATTTCAGGGGGTTGCATGTGTACGAGTTTGAGCTGAGAAAATATTTAACTTCCTTTTTGAAGTTTTTGTAACTTAAAATTCTATATAACTACACGTGATTTGAGTTGGGTGAGTGTGCTGGTAAGGCCAGTGGGGTGTAGACTGTCCTTACTCTAACTAAGGCCATGACATGGCACAGGCCAGTCCCCTGCTTGGTGAGGAAGAGGCATCCAGTCCTCGCTGAATGCTGGGCTCTCACCTACTCAGGCCTTTGCTGCTGTGGGTCCCGCTCTGGGCTCATGGGATGCCACGTTGGGTGTGCGCTGCTGCCCCAGCACTGTTTTCAGCCTGGCCCGTGGGGAGCAGTGGTTGAGAGCAAGTGTGTGTGTCGTACGCGTCTTTGTGGCTAGTCCCCCGTTCTGGCTCTTTCAGCTGAGCACCACCCAGTCTCCTCATTGGCTCTCCACAGGAAGTCCTCCAGAACTTGTACCGCACCAAGTCCTTCCTGTTCATGGGCTGTGGGGAGACCCTGCGTGACCAGATTTTCCAAGCTCTGTTCCTGTACTCAGTGCCCAACAAGGTGGCCTTGGAGCACTACATGGTGGTGCTCAAGGAGAATGAAGACCATTTCTTCAAGCACCAAGCTGATATGCTTCTGCACGGGATCAAGGTGGTGTCCTACGGGGACTGTTTCGACCACTTCCCTGGCTACGTGCAGGACCTCGCCATGCAGATCTGCAAGCAGCATAGCCCAGGTACGTGGCTGTGTCCTCCATTTCTAAGCACAAAACTCACAGGGTCCTCCCAGGTGTCCTTACATATTTACTTACTTAGTTTGAGGTATAATTCACAATTCACCAATCTTCCAGGTGTCTTCAAAAAACTCTCTGGGTAAATCAGAGGGGCTCCGGAAAGGGTGTGGCAGTGACAGTGTAGACAGATCTGTGAGGTGACTGTTAGTGTTGCAGTGCAGATTTCTGGTTGGACATATTGCTCGTGTTTCAGATGATGTAACCGAGACAGGAAGCTGCCATGCCCGTGCGCTCAGTTATGATACTCAGAACCGTTCGGGTGCAGGTGTCCCACCCCTTTATCCCAAATAGCATCTTTCTCTGTTCTGAGCACATGCCTGCGAAGTGCTAGTCCTTGGCTCTTGTTGGGGCCGTGTTGATCTGCCAGGAATGACCAGGGTGACTGAGTTCTTAGGCCTGATCACCACAACGTGCGTGGTTAGTGGCTTTGAGTTCGGTACCATAAACATTGATGCCTTCAAGCTTGGGGTCCCTCTTGACCACCGTGTAGTTGTCAGGAAACCCAGGCACTGTCACTCACACAGTGCCACCAGGTCAGCACCGACGACTGTGAGCAGCCAGGAACATGAAGACGAGCGAAGGCGCAGACAGTCCAGCCACCATGCTGTTGTTAGCGCTAGCACTTTCTGTTCAGAATTGTTAATACTTAGGGCTGCCTCGTAGCCTATAGTTAAGGGAACCAGATCCCACATGCCTGACCACACAGTTTGAATCCTGGTCCCAGGAGCTGAAAACCACATCAGGAGTGTACGTGTGTGCCCCACATCCCAGAGAGAAAAACGCAGGGGAAGGGCTGATAACCTGACCAGGTCGTGTTTCCTCCCGCTCCGTCTTTCTGGAAATTGCACAGGTCCTTTGGCTTAAAAATTAAAAGAAAACAAAAGAGAAAAAAGAATTGGTAATAACTGTCAAAATGGGCTGATTTCAGTTGCATTTCCAATAACTAACAGCATGACCAGGCTGGCAGTCCCTCTTACTGAAGGCCGGGGAAGTGACTTGTGCTTGGTGACCCTCTGCATGGCACATGCTGTGTGGATTGTGGTCTTGGCCCCGTTCGGCTGTTTTAATGGCACCTGCTGCCACTAAGTAGGTGCTGAGACGAGCTCAGAGAGGCGAACGGTCTGCCCAGCTCATGCCAGACTTGCCGAAGCTGGGGCTGGGGTTCTGGCCGGCCGCAGAGCAGAACTCGGCGTTTAGTGTGGCCTAGTCCTAGTGTGTGACCAGGCTCGCCTGGGCGGTGGGCTATCCCTGTCTATCTCTGCACCTTGCCCTTCTGCCCCACATCCACGACTCCTGCAGGGCAGGACCCAACATAAACCCAAGTGAGCTCAAGCTCCTGGAGCAGGTGGCCAAGTGGATTCCTGTCCCTGCCACCTCTCTGGCAGCCAGCTGCTGGAAGACAGACAGGACCCTCCAGTTCTGATCTGTGACGGTGTCCTGAACGCCCCTGCTCACCTTCCTAGAGTAGCACACTCAGTGGGAGGAGGCTCAGTGGCAGTGACAGGAATAGCAGTGATGGCAGCACCATGCCACTGTGTGCCGGCTGACTTCTGGTGCTTCATGCAGCCCTCAGTGAACACTCGTGTCCCACGGGAGATGGAGAGGAGAGGGCAGTGGCAGCCCCCACTCCACAGCTAGTGGGTGCAGAGCAGGTGCCGCGGTGGCAGCAGCACTGGAAGTCTCGGTCCGGCTGACTTGTTTTTCCCTTCTGCAGATGCTGATCGAGTGGACAGCACTACGTTACTGGGTAAAGCCGGTTTTTACTTCCACCAGCTTGTTTTTTGCCTCCATGTTCCGTTCTTTCGGCTGCGATTTGTGAGAGTATGAAATAGATTTTTACGTCCCATAGTTAGCCAGAAGTGGCCCATCAGAGATGACAAACTGCAGTGCCGGCAGACCAGGCCCTGCACAGCCCAGGGCTGAAGGTCCACCCTTGGACGGAGACAGCAGCTTCACCACAGGCTGGCCGCTGGCCCTTCAGGAGTCTCTGTCCTGGGCTTCAGTTAGGAGGGACTGGAACAGGCTCTGTACCATGCCCTCAGTGCAGGATGTAGTGACCAAGAGGGACTTGTTGAGAAATTCAGTTGCACATGTAAGGTTTCACACAGACTTTCTGTTTCATTCTTGTTTGAAATCAAAATTGCTTTTCTTGCCGGGCTCAGCTCTGCCTGTTTATAAACTAGCAAGACTCATGGGCCAGCCGATAGCCTAGTGGTTAGGACAGCTAGCTCCCACATGCTGACTGCATGGTTGGAGACCTGGACCCAGCAGCCTGAAAAACACACTGGGCATGAGTGTGCGTATGCCCCAAATCCTGACAGGATAGAGAAACGGAGAAGAAGAGATTTCAGTATGAACACATTCCCTGGGGGCGGGGTACTTTCTTCTTTTCACTGTCTCTTTGGTGAGTGCATGTGCCTGCAGACAAATTAAAAAAACAAAATGAACAAAAAACACTCAGTAGCGGGACCAGCAGTTAGTGTAACGGCTATGTCGCTGGACTCCCATGTAGTTGACCTGGTGGCTTAAAACTCACGCCGGGCACGTGTGCGTGCGTGCCCAAGATCCCGAGAAGAGAATGGAGGAGAAGGGATTGCGGCGTGGCCATCCCCCCTGGGGGGGTGATTTCTCGCTTTCTGTCTCTCTGTCTCTCTCTGCCTGCCTGGCAAGCTCAAGCGCCCGGTTGCAAAAACCTCTCCCCAAAAAAAAAAAAAAATACTCAGTAGCTATCAGCATCCTCCTGTGGGTACCTCAAGCACCACGTGTCTGCACGTCCTGGTCTGAGGTTCTCAGGACTCTGGGCAGTGGAGTAGAGCCTGCTGTGTGGCCCGTCTTCCCTACCCGCGGGACCCGGCACAGCCATGTAGGAAGGTGTGGCAGGGCTTATTCGGCCAGGGCTTTAGTGAGATCAGATTTATGAACTGGTCTTGGAGGGCGGACTCTAGAAAAGATAAGCTTTTTAATCAGTTTTCTTCTTTCAGGTAATGCGTGTCAGGACTGTGCAAAAAGGAAGTTAGAAGAAAACGGAATTGAAGTTTCCAAAAAGCTCAGACAATCAGATACTGGTAATTGTGCTCTTTGGTCTTGTGGGAGCCCTAGGTGGGGCCTGGCACGGGTGTCCTTAGGTGCAGTGCCCCTTGGTGGGAGGAATGAGTCGAATAATGTGTTGGGTCAGAGCCCAGAGCAGTTTAGATGGGATACGCGCCTCACCCTAACTCTGTTCCATGTGCCTCCTTCTAAATAAATACATAAATTTAGTTTCTTCCACAAGGGGGAGAGACAGAAACTGAGAGGTGCCCCCACCAGGGTCCTCGTGTTGCGCCCTGACTTATCACAGCTGGGCGGGATTACAAGTACTGAGGATGCTCAGGGAGGCCCAGGTCTCGAACCAAGGATGCTCCCTAACTGGGTCCAACTGCATTACCACCATGCCACCACCTGGCCCAGAACTTTGTTGATTTAAGTGAGCATCATTGGGAAAATGTGCACTAAGATGTAGACATTGTAGTTAGCTCAGTGAATTCTCACAGAGTGCGCACGCCCACTTAGTCACACCTTGCCAAAGGAGCCCCCTGGCCATTTTCCAGGCATTCCCCACCCAGGGTGACCACTCTCCTGATTTATGTCATCGTAGTCTCTAGAGAAAACCTCTTTGAATCATTTGTTTTCCTTACCTCTGTCAGATTACTTTAAACATTTCTTTGAACCTTTTATTTTATTTTGGAGAGGTTTTTGCTATAGGGCACATGCGTTCACCAGAAAGACAGAAAGAGACAGAGAGATAGAAAGCGAAATATCCCGCAGGGGAGATGGCCACACTGCAATCCATTCTCCTTCATTCTCCTCTCCGGATCCTGGTCATGCATGCTCATGTGCCCAGTGTGAGTTTAAGTCACCTGGTCCAGGACTCAAACCGCGGTCGGCTACATGGGAGTCCAGTAACATAGCCACTATGCCAACTGCTGGTCCCTTGAACCTTTTAATAGTCTGTCCCTATTATTCCAGAAAAGGTGATCTAGCTCACCTTCAACCCCTCCCTCTCCTCTCCTCCTCCTGGGTTTTGATAGTCTATCACCTCTTCTTTACTTTCAATAATGCACTTAAACCTGACTTCCTGATGTGAGCATGGGCTGTGACAGCTTGCCTCTTCCCGACATCTATCCCATGAGCATTGCTCACTGTAGTTAACAGGGGAAAGGAAATAAGACCACCAGTCTAGTCCAGTCTGCAGGTTGATTGTAACAATTCAAAATGAAAGCACTGGGCCAGCAGGTGGCATTGCAGTTAAGGTGCCGGACTACCATGTGGCTAACTGCATTTCCAGTCCCAGAAGTGACTGCTTGCTTCTCATTCTGTCTCTCTTTCTCACTCACTTTCTCTCTCTGGTAAGCACATGTGCCCTATAGCAAAATTAAATAATAACAATAAAATTAAATAATTCTTCAAAAAAAGGAAGAAAACAAAAGGGTTTACTTTCTCAAGACAGTGTCCGCCCTGGCCAGCCAACTTGTGTGTGAAATTACTGGACCCAGTGCAGTGGCTCCGGTGCCAGGTGTAGAATGTGTTCTTAGGGACAAATCAAACGTGATTTTCCCCCTCACATTGCATTCTCTCATTTTGTAATTGTTTATTGAGACATGCCTATTGTTTATTATTTTATGTTTTTAGATTCCTGTTTTCCTCTTGTCTAAAATATAACGTATTTATAATATTCTTGTATTTCTTCATTCTCTCCATCTTGCCACCCCTTATTTCCCAAGACACTGTCTAACCTTCATCTTCGGGACGACCACATTTGCACTTGCCACTCTGAACTTTTCCCTTCCATCAGTGCCTGTGTCCTCCTGGTTCTGGTCCTCTGTCCCTCTAGTACCCCCTTGGGGACCTAGCTTCTGCAAACCCTGATGTGGAGGGTCAGCTCTCTGAAGAGGTGGCTATGTCTGCAGGTGTCTTGATCTGGTCCTCGTGCCGTTGATCATTTGAGGGAAGGACTCTCGGCTAATTACTTCCCCCAGGGAATGGCACTGTCCTAAGTTCCAGGTTCCCATGAAGAGTGCCTGTACACTTAGTGCCCGCTCATTTGTAGGTGACACACTGTTTTCCTTTCTGGAAATTTTCGATTTTCTTTTCCTGTGGTGTTTAAAAATTTTATAAGGGTGTGTATAGGTGGAAGTCTTCTTGCTCGGTTTTTATTTATTTATTTTTCCTTCTCATTGTGTTTCTTCAGCTGTGGAATAATCTTCAGTTTCCTTGATTATTCTTTCCATGTTCTCTGTTCTCTCTTCCTAGAATTTATATTAGTTGAGATCTCCTGGATTGATTTCTACTGTCTTGAAGTTTTCTGACTCAACTTGCATTTTCTGTCTCCTTTTTAAACAGCTTTCTTCTGAGGGATTCTCTAAATTATGTTCTAGCTCTTGGGTTACATTTTTATTTTGACTGTGATTTTAACTCTGAGAGCTCTTATTTGCTGATTTATCCTTTCTCATGGCACCCATTGTTTTCTGTTTCTTTTTATAGTTTGCTATGTGGTGTGCGTGCTTGCTAGAAACAGAGAAAGAGAGGGAAAGTGAGAAATCAGCCCCCATGGGGGATGAGTGCTGTAGTCTCTTCTCCCTCATTCTCCTTTTGGGAATTTGGGCACCTGTGAACACACGCCTGGTGTTTTTTTTTTTTTTTTTTTTTTTGAAGTCCCCAAGTCCAGGACTCTACACGTGGTCTGCGAAGCAGTGAAGGTGGGTTCCAGCTCCCAAACCCCCCATGCCACCTGCTGGCCCACAGCTTTTTTTTTTTTTTAAGGTTTTTCCATAGGGTGTGTGTGTGCTCACTAGAGAAAGACAGAGAAGCAGTGAGAGGGAAAGTGATAAATCATTTCGGCGGTGGGGGTGGGCATGCCACAGTCCCTTCTTCATTCTCCTCTTCGGATTTTGGGCACACATGCATGCATGCTTAGCATGATTTTTAAGCTACTAGTCAATCATGTAGGAGTCCAGTGCCTTAACTACTACACTACCAGCCGGCCCCTGTTGTTTTATGACTGTCATATATTTTAAAATTTCTGGAAACACTAGAGGCCTCCCTGGTCACCTCCTACTGCATCCCTGCAAACATTGGGATAGAGTATGTTCAGATAGCAGCAGTTTAATTCCTATTACTTTATGTAAGAAAACCTTAGTCAAACACCTGTTAAAATCCACCAAGAATGTGTGAGCTGTGAAGCATTTGACATATCATCACCTGTTTATTTAGCTTTTACATGCATCCTTCAGTGGGTATGCTCAACAACTCTGTGATACTACCTTTTTCTTCCACATTGTGGTAACATGTTGAAGAAATCTGTTGTAGGTACAAAGCTTCATAATAAATGCAAGTAATCTCTATTCTAATAAAATCTGACAGTTTTAAGAAATGGTTCCCGATGTTGCTTAGGTTGGGACTAGTGGCAAGGAGGCAAGAGGCTGTAGTGTCCTGTCTGTCAACGGTGGGTGAACGTGACAGTGAGTCAGTGAGCATTCCGGGAGAATAGCTGAGGGCAGCTGCCACGGACGCTGCATCCTCTTGTTTAGATTTGTACAGCATCAGTGCACTTGGGGAGGGGCACACATAGCTTTAGAGGAAGAATTCATTGTTGGTAACAGTTTTCGATAAGATTTTTTATGCTCTTTCAACAAATATTTGGATTGTGATTTTAGCTAAATAAAAAATAAATAAAAACAATAACAAAAAAAAGCTACAAAGGTTCTTTGAATCATTTCCCTGGAGCAGGAGTTCTTTTCCATTTATTTCTTTTCTGTCCCTTGTTGTTTGTTTTTCCATGCCTTTTTTTTCCCCACATTTTATTGATTCACTGAAGCTCTTAATTAATTTAAAAACTTTTAATATCGGAGACCAGCAGGTGGTGTGTTGGTTAAGGCGCTGGACACTCCCACATGGCCAACCACAGTTCGAGTCCTCGGCCTGGTGGTTTGCTTTCTCACTTTCCCTCTTTCTCTCTCTCTGTCTGTGTCTCTCTCTGGTCACATTAAAATAAAATGAATGAATAAACAAAATTAAATAAACAATTATTTTAAAAAAAAACTTTTGATAGCAAGCATAGCATATATATATATATATATGTTTCACTTTAAGAGTAAAGAGTAAAGTGAATATATTATAAAGTAGCACCTAATTGAGGCTATATAACTTACAGCAGTCATTAAATAAGTATTAATATGTATTTTATAATGCAGTTTTTTATTTCAAGAAAAACAATTTTAGCTTTAACATATCAAAATTTAAAAAATGTTAAGAATTTGCTTAAAACTTAAAGCCAGTAATAAGGTTAGATTCAGTTCAGTAAAACTTAAAGCCAGTATTAAGGTTAGATTCAGTAGGTAGATGAACCTGTCAACAGTTAAGAGAAGACAAAAATCTTTAAATATAGAAATCAAAGCATCAAAGAGAATCAGTAATGTTGGGACCAGCAGTTAGCGTGATGGCTATGTTGATGAACTCCCACGTAGCCAACCACAGTTCAAGTCCCAGACCTGGTGGCTTAAACTCACACTGGGTGTGTGTGCGTGTATGCCCAAGATCCCAAGAGGAGATGGTGGAGAAGGGATTGCGGTGTGGCCATTCTCCCTGGGGTGTGATTTCTCATTTTCTGTCTCTCTGTCTCTTTGTCTTTCTGGTGAGCACACGCGCCCTATAGCAAAAACCTCTCCTACAAAAAAACAAAACAAAACAAAACAAAAACAAAAACCTCAGTAATGTTTTAGTCTAAAATCAAAAAAATTCTATTTCACTAGTTCAGACTCATGTAATTAATCTCTCTTTTGAATTTGCAGTGTTACTGTGGTCTGATCTTTCTTTTAAACTCTGGAAGTTAACATTTCAATTCCAAACTTGGCCCTACCATTAGGCTAGCCATTCTCTTGGTTGTTTTTTGTACTCTTATTTCCATGTGTCTGACTTTAGTTTTCCTGGTACAGCACTCCCTTCAGTACTTCTTGAAGAACTGGTCTGGTATTGGTAAATTATTTCAGGTTTTGTTTATCTGAGAATGTTTTTGTCTTGTTTTCCCACATGAAAGATAATCTTGCTGGGTATAGTATTCTTGGTTGAAATTGTTTTTTCCTTAACACTTTGAATATATTTTCCCATTCTTTCCTTACTTGTATTGTTTCCGATGAGAGGTCTGACGTTAGCCTGATGAGATATCTTTGAAAGTAACTTGACGTTTCTCTCTTGCAAAATTTAGTATCTAGTCTCTGTGGTTTTGGTTAAGCTGGCTATGATGTGCTTGGGGGAAGATCTTGAGTTGATTCTATGTCGGGTCCTTTGTATTTCTTGGTTCTGGATATTTGAGTACCTCTCTAGGTTTGGAAAGTTTTCTTCTAGGATTTCATGGAATTGATTATCAGTGCCCTTATTCATTTCTTCACCTTCTGGGATACTGACAATCTGGATGTCTGGGAGTTTAATGGTATCTAGTATTACTCAAATGTTATTCTCAATTTTTTGGGGTTATTTTCTGTCTTTTTTGTGAAATTTTCTTGGTTATAGGTTTTGTCTTCTACATCTGAGATTCAATCTTTTGCATGATCTAACCTGCTTTTGATTTTTTTTTTTTCCCAAGAGGTTTTTGCTATAGGGTGGATGCGCTTGCCAGAAAGACAGAGAGACAGGGAGACAGAAAGCGAGAAATCACCCCCCAGGGGGGATGGCCATGCCACAATCCCTAGATCTTCCATTCTCTTCTCGGGATCTTGGGCTTGTGTGCACATGTGCCCAGTGCCAGTTTAAGCCACCAGGTCCAGGACTCAAATGGCATTCAACTACAAGGGAGTCCAGCAACACAGCCATTATGCCAGGCGCTGCTGGTCCCATGCTTTTGATATTTCCAAGGGAGATTTTGACTTCCTGTATTACAGCCTTCATCTCTAATCATTTGATTCTTTTTGATGATATGTATCTTCTCTTTCAGATCATGCAAGAACTTCCTCACCTCCTGGAACTCATTGTCTTGTTTCTCCTGAATTTTCTGGAGTTCTTTCTCTTCTTTTGCGTATCTGTTAGCTTTGTCGCTATGAATATTCTAAATTCATTATCTGATATTTCCATGAGTTCCCTTGTATAGTCTGTGGAGGATGAGGAGTTAATCTTTTCCCTTGGGGAAGAGAGATTTTCTTGGTTTCTCAAATTTCTTGTACCTCTGCAGTAGTTTCTGATGACCTGGTGGATTATATATTTTTTCCCTAGTTTTTGGAGTTAAATCTGAGCATTCAGAGGAATGCAGAAGGAGGTGATCTGCAATATCTAAACATTACTTTTTTTCTCTTTGTGTAGCTGATTCAATGGATTTTGAGGATTAATCTGACCCTAAAAGTATTCAGATATTTGGCTCTTGAGCACTTAAACCTGTCTAGAAAATAACTGTGTGGGAGCTGAGCAGAAAAGTGAGAACAGGAAAAGGAAAAGGAAATCCCCAAAACGGAAAAAATAAGACAAACAATAATAATAAAAAAATTTTGAATAAAAAATGAAAAAGTGCACCGCACGGATGCGGCCGCTCAGAACTCAGATACATATGGCTTCTGATTGGCTTGTCCTATGGGGGAAGGGGGAAAGGTAAGAATTAATGACAAAACAGCAGCAGAGAGCTAAGAACTTTAAAAATTAAAAATAAAAAATTTAAAAAGAGAATAAATAGGGTGTTCTAACCTGGCTCCTAACTAGCTAGATACTGGGGGGCAAGAGGGTGAAGTCTGGATAGAATGTCTTCGGTGGTCCTAATCCTGTCCCTTGTTTTTTCATATCCAGGGCATATACTCAGCCTTCCTTCCTTCTCTGCATTTCCAGGTGTGCCCAATGTGTGCTTTTTGAAATGGCCTTGTTCTCTTCCCGCTAAGACAGGAAACAGCCTCCGTGTTGATAAAGGGCAGAGATTCCCATAGATCTCTGCAAACCTTGTGTCATACTTAATCAGTCCTGCAGTGGTGTTTAGAACTCCAGAGCTATTTCTAGACACCATTACTATTATGGAGGGGTTCTCAAAGTCGCCACATAAAAATTGTAAAGCAGTTTCTGAAATAAGTATCTGTTAAAAATACTGGGTCATCAGAAAAGTCATGACACATTTTGCATAGAACAACATAGAAAAATACATCATGACTTTCCTGGCGACCTAATACTTTTTTTAGTTGAACCTTAACCTTTGATGTCTTTCTTCTATTTAAACAGATGATGCTGGAGGGTCTTGAAATCTTTAAGACCAATTACACCTGCAACTTGAAAACCAGCCTTCTGTACCACAGTGCCACGCCCAAATGATGAGGAATGTATGGAGAACTCCACACCTCTCAATTCTGAACTGTCACACATCCTGAAAGCCATAGGGGTGTGTGGCCCTCCGGGCTAGGTGAGAGTACACATGTCAGGCACACTTTACAAGGACTGAAAGCTCCCTCAGAGCCTAGAACCAGTGGGAAGTGACGAACCTGGTACTCCTAACTCCTGTTTGCCATGTCTCTTGCATTAGGGAGGCATTTTTTCCTAATAAAAGGAGAAAAGACTGTCCAAGCAGCAGTTGTTGCCAAATAGCAAGAATGAGAGCTTACAGTTTATCTCTGTTATGTGGAAATATTTGTTACGGTAGAAAGCATTCAAAGAAAAGGTGTCTTTCACATAGTTATCCAGGACAAGAGAATGGATACTCAAGGCACCAGCCAGTGAATTTTTTTTTCCTTAAAGAATGACTAGATCAATAGGGCATCTTTGGAATTATGTCATAGTAATGCCTATTCCAGAGATGGTAGGTCTAGGTGTTGCTGAAGTGTGAAGTCTGAGGGGCCATGGCCTTTTCAGACAGCTGAGTGTTGTGCAAGTCCATTGTGTGACTGATAATTGTGAAAGCAAAGGCCAATTTTTAACTTTTACATAAATTATAAATTCCAAGCTTTCCGAATCTGTGTCTCTGGGGCACGAGGTCCAGCCTTTTCCTCTTGAATCTCTTCCCGTGGCCCACATTGAGGGGCTTTACAAAGTGCTGTGAGCAGAATGTGCAAGGCTTACAGCACTGGAGCCTTTCCCAGGTTTACCCAGGTGGACACCAAGTGGGATGTGGGGCTGAGGCCTGTGTGGTGGTACAGCAAGAAGACTCTGGAAACAATCCCTGTGTGGTCTCAGTTTGAGACCGCCCATCTTTGACATGCCATTTCTTGCTTGCCAAGCCTGTGACACTCCCCAATGATGGCAGCTCCCATAGGTGCAGAGAAATTTAAGGACAAGAAACAAAAGGTTAGGAGTGGGAGAATGTTTTTTTTTTTTTTTTCTTTTTAAAGCATGGAATTAGATCTTTCATGTCATTCAAGTCATAAATAAAGTTTTAATTTCTGCCTTGTGTGTGCAGCTTTTCTTCAGTGATGACAGCTGTTTTAATGTATTAATGATCATTTCTGTTACAGCTGGAGCTATCAGTGGCTTGTAAAATCACGTAAATATTACTTGAATGTGTTTTTCAGAAAAGCAAACTAAATCAGGGATGTATATCTGAATCTGAAAGCTGTTTAGACACAGGGTATAGCAGAATTACAAGTGTCGATGAGGATGTGGGATAGACTATAAAACTGAACAAGTAAATGAGAGCCTGTGTAAGTAAAAGTATGGAATGCCATGCTGAAGGAGCTGAGGCTGGTGAACTGTAGTGAGTGACCAAATGTAGTCAGTTCTGTTGTAATGCTTGCTTTAAAATGCAGACTTATCCTAATACGGTTTATAGGTTGGAAACCACTGGAGCATAAAGCCCTTGAGTATGTAATCTCATCAGTAAGAAACACTGGGTCGGGGGGTGACAAAGTACCCCTGTGTCTCCACTGTCTCAAGCTAGGATAGTTACATTTTTAAATGGTTGCACTTTAAGTATGTATGCAACTATCCACTGAAGGATCAACTTACCTATGGTCCTCAACCATGTGCTGATCCCTGCACTAGGCAGGAGAATGCAGTGAATGCACCCAGATGCATGGAGCTAGGGAAGAAAGCACCAAACTCCCACCTGGTCAGCCCTTGGGTGCTTCCTGCTCCATGGATGCACCATCGCCTCAGCCTCCCACAAGTGTGAGGTTCCAGACCACTCCCCCCCACCCCTTGTGACAACTACTTTTCTAAGTGGACTCCTGGGCTTTTTCAGTAGAAAGTGCCACATTAGTTGTAGTATCTGTATTTCTTAACCATTCAGTGTGTGTGAAACTCATTTTATTAGGTTCCTATCTTTGGGGGGTGTGTGTTGCCCCTGGCCTATACTGCCACAGTCCTGTGGTTTTTATTGTATCTTCTGCATAGCATGATGGTCTTGAGGAAGTGGGCAGGTACAGGATGACAGGACCTACTACTGGGCAGGACCCTTGACCATTTGTGAGTCGGTGTTGCCAAAGACAGTTCAGCATGGTTATGGTTGATACCTTTCAGGTAGAGGAAGTGTTCTCATCTGATGGAGCTGAGCTGCATAATGTGAGGTTCCTTCTTTGGGTCCAGATCTCTTAAAATGAAAAGACCTGCCCCCAAGAAATAAAGCCACAACCACGAGGAAAGCAGGTGGGAGAGTATTTCATAGAAAAGAGCTTTTAGCAATGATGTATACCCTAAAGACTTGAGCGGGCAGACTGTTAGGTAGCAACTGTGTTCGGAACGGATTAGGTGTACTGTAACTGCGAGGTGATGAATGTTTAGCAGAGAGGTCTGTCACAGAATCCGTGTTCTTTAATTTTGTGGGCTTTTTCCTGCACTTGAGGAATTTACCTAATTACGCCTGATCAAGGTAGATTTTGAAGGTATCCATATTTGCATAATCTGCCCTATGAGTTTATTGCCCCAAAGGGAATTAGGATGTTGGTCTAGCATTCCATCCCTGCTTCAGGTGCGGGGTGGGAGGAGGGAGTTTTCAGAGGTTAGACTGATAAAACTGCTGTGAGCTTAGGGCTGCCCCTCATATTTTTTTTTTTTTGGAGAGGTTTTTGCTATTGGGTGTGTGTGCTCACTTAGAAAGAGAGAGACAGATTTCTGGCTAACTGCCTGCCACAAAAGCAGAAGCAGCAGTAGTACCAGTACTAATGAAGAAAAGGAGAAGCACAGGCAGCCGGAGATTAGAACTGGGTCTTTGTGTGACAGTAATTGTTAGGTACAGAGCAAATCCTTTGGTAGCATGAGTGTCCTTCAAAAGCAGTTATTTCAGGAGGCCCTTCCCTGGGAGCACTTGGCCCAAAGGAGTGAAACAGAAAACCATCCTGAGGTTTTCCTGTTCTGTTTGGAAGTGGAAGTACTATTGAAGTGTGCAGTCTCATTTCCTGTAAAAAACTATGCACTGAAGTGGCAAAGTCCACTGTAACTTGAGAGAGCATGTGTTCCTCAGGATTTCCTTACTGGAAGTTAAATTTCCAGGGCCAGCACATGGCATGGAGGTTAAGGTGCTCAATCTCACATAGCTGGCTTTGCAGCTCGAAAATCACACCAGGACTGGTGTGTACCTAAATTCCAAGGAACTGCTGAGGGGCCATCCCTCTGGGGGTGTGATTTCTTACTTTATCACTGTCTTTCTCTGGAGAGCACACATACTATGGCAAGGAAAAAAAATTACATTTACAAAAAGAGAGGGCCAACCAGTGGTGGTGGCGTGGTGGTTAAGGCCGCTGGATTCCCCATGGCCAAATGCATGAGTCCCAGACCCTGCAGCTTGAAAAATGTGCTGGTGTATGTGTGCGCATGTCCACAATCCTGAGAGGAGGGAGAGATGAAAAAGAGATTACATACAACCATTCCCCACAGTGGGACACTTTCTACTCACTCTCCTAGGCAAGCACATGCACCTCTAGCAAAAAAAAAAAAAAAAAGGTTGAAGTTGTATTGAGGCAGTCAAATTTCACCATTAAATGTCTCCCCCTCTTGGGACCAGCAGTTAGTGTAATGGCTATGTTGCTGGACTCCCACGTAGTCGACCGTGGTTCAAGTCCTGGACCTGGTGGGTTAAACTCACGCCGGGCACATGTGCGTGCATTCCCAGGATCCCGAGAGGAGAATGGAGGAGAAGGGATCGCGGTGTGGCCATCCCCCCTGGGGGGTGATTTCTCGCTTTCTATCTCCCTGTCTCTGTCTGTCTGGCGAGCACATGCGCCCTACAGCAAAAACCTCTCCAAAAAAAAAAAAAAAAGTCTCTCGTTTTGCTTCTGAAGTTATATAATATAGAATAGTTGAAATTAGAATATTTTTTATTGCCATTTTGACATACAGTGCCTGAAACAATTTCCCATAAAAGCCAGGTTTAACAACTCATTAACCAACCTGTAACTAGAATATTTAAAAACCAAGAGTTTTCCTTAAGGGTAAGACTACAGTGAAGATGATGCAGAATTCAACATTTTTCTACTTGGCTTATTCCAGTATAGAAGCTAAAATTATAGTACAAAGTTGTACTTCTTTTTTTAAAACTAATTCAACATTATCACAGAAAATTTCTACTTCTGCAATGGGGCCTTGACTGAAGTGAGCTACACAGCCTCTTTGGCTAGAACAGCTAAAAGACTTCTTGAAAGGCTCGCTCACCAGGCTGGTAGGTGGGTTGTTCAAGAACTGTGTGGATGGGAGGGGGGAACTAAGTCACTGTCAGCCTGACCACTGCAAGCCTGGGCAGGCTGGCCCACAGCTGAGGTGCACAAGAGTACTGTGGCTCCTAGTGGGACTCCCTCTGTCTCTTGCCGCTTTCTTGGCCTTCAGTGTCCGGATACTGAGAAAGATCAAGGGTCAAAACTCGGCTGAACATGCAGTCATCTTGCTGAAATGGAGAGAAGACAGTTAAAAGTGTTTGCCTAATGATGGAAAAAATGTTATTGACAAAAGGGCCAATGGCGCCAGCAGGTGGTGTAGTGGTTAAGGCACTGAATGTCCACATGGCTGACTGGTGTGAGTCCCAGACACACTGGCTTGAAACTCATGCTGGGTGTGTGTGTGCCCAAAGTCCTGAGAGGAGAACAGAAGGGACTGCAGTGTGGTCATCCCTCTTGAGGGGTGATTTCTCACTCTCTTTCTCTTGTGAACGCACATGCCCTATAGCAAAAATTGCTCCAAATTAATTAATTAATGGCAATTAATGAGTCTAGATTTGCATTAAAAAGGAAGTTCCTTATACCTAGGAAGATAGCAATTTTATCTGTATTTGCATCAGTTAATTCTTTTTTTTTAATCTGGCAGGAGAATTTCCATTTCTCATGTAGTGTATTTCCTAGTGGACCCCTAATATCCTGTAGGCACAGGAAGATAAATTATTGGGGTGTCAGGAAAGTCATGATACAGTTTTGCATAGAAAAATATGTCCTAACTTTCCTATGACCTAATATTTTTTATCATAACCTAAAGGAAAACTCAAGAAGTTAAACTTAATTATCCCAAAACCCAATGACTTGAATTAATTGCTTTGCTCCATTGGCTCAGGGAAGTAATCTGAACAGATTAAGAAGTATTCAAGGGACCAGCAGTTAGCGTAATGGCTATGTCGCTGGACTCCCACATAGTCGACCGCGGTTCGCATCCCAGAACTGGTGGCTTAAAACTCACGCCGGGCGCATGTGCATGCGTGCCCAAGATCCCGAGAGGAGAATGGAGAAGTGATTGCAGTGTGACCATCCCCCCTGGGGGGTGATTTCTCGCGTTCTGTCTTCTGGCGAGCACACACACACCCTACAGCAAAAACCTCTTAAAAAAAGAAAAGAAAAAGAAAAGTGTTCAAATTCTGGGACCAGCAGTTAGTGTAATGGCTATGTCGCTGGACTCCCAAGTAGTTGACCGCAGTTTGAGTCCTGGACCCAGTGGCTTAAACTCACGCTGGGCGCGTATGCGTGTGTGCCCAAGATCCAGAGAAGAGAATAGAGGAGAAGGGATTGTGGCGTGGCCATCCCCCCTGGGGGGTGATTTCTCACTTTCTGTCTCCCTGTCTCTGTCTGGCGAGCGCACGCGCCCTATAGCAAAAACCTTTCAAAAAAAAAAGAAAAGTGTTCAAATTCTGAAATTTACTTAAGTTTCAAGTGAATTTCTTTTTTTCCCCCTCTGATACTTTTGAAAGATGTATGGTTCCTTGTTCTACCACAGTTCATCATTCATTCAAACATTCAAACACTGGGACCAGCGAATTGCATGGTGTTTAAGGCACTTAACTCCCACATGGCCAGTGCAGTTTGAGTCCTGGACCTGGTGGCTTGAAACTCAAGCTGGGCATGTGTGCATATACGCCCCAAATCCCAAGAGGAAAATGGAGGAGAAGGGACTGTGGTATGGCCATACTCCCAGGGGGTGACTTCTCACTTTCCCTCTCACTGTCTCTCTGTCTCTCCACT